ACCCAGTTTCACTCACAAAGTTCACGATGAGACTCACCATCACCCAGTTTCACTCACAAAGTTCACGATGAGACTCACCATCACCCAGTTTCACTCACAAAGTTCACGATGAGACTCACCATCACCCAGTTTCACTCACAAAGTTCACGATGAGACTCACCATCACCCAGTTTCACTCACAAAGTTCACGATGAGACTCACGATCACCCAGTTTCACGCACAGAGTTCACGATGAGACTCATCATCACCCAGTTTCACTCACAGAGTTCACGATGAGACTCGCCATCACCCAGTTTCACTCACAAAGTTCACGACGAGACTCACCTTCACCCAGTTTCACTCACAAAGTTCACGATGAGACTCACCATCACCCAGTTTCACTCACAGAGTTCACGATGAGACTCGCCATCACCCAGTTTCACTCACAAAGTTCACGATGAGACTCACCATCACCCAGTTTCACTCACAGAGTTCACGATGAGACTCACCATCACCCAGTTTCACTCACAGAGTTCACGATGAGACTCACCATCACCCAGTTTCACTCACAAAGTTCACGATGAGACTCACCATCACCCAGTTTCACTCACAAAGTTCACGATGAGACTCACCATCACCCAGTTTCACTCACAAAGTTCACGATGAGACTCACCATCACCCAGTTTCACTCACAGAGTTCACGATGTGACTCACCATCACCCAGTTTCACTCACAAAGTTCACGATGAGACTCGCCATCACCCAGTTTCACTCACAAAGTTCACGATGTGACTCACCATCACCCAGTTTCACTCACAGAGTTCACGATGTGACTCACCATCACCCAGTTTCACTCACAAAGTTCACGATGAGACTCACCATCACCCAGTTTCACTCACAGAGTTCACGATGAGACTCACCATCACCCAGTTTCACTCACAGAGTTCACGACGAGACTCACCATCACCCAGTTTCACTCACAGAGTTCACGACGAGACTCACCATCACCCAGTTTCACTCACAGAGTTCACGACGAGACTCACCATCACCCAGTTTCACTCACAAAGTTCACGATGAGACTCACCATCACCCAGTTTCACTCACAGAGTTCACGATGAGACTCACCATCACCCAGTTTCACTCACAGAGTTCACGATGAGACTCATGATCACCCAGTTTCACTCACAGAGTTCACGATGTGACTCACCATCACCCAGTTTCACTCACAAAGTTCACGATGAGACTCACGATCACCCAGTTTCACTCAGAGTTCACGATGAGACTCGCGATCACCCAGTTTCACTCACAGAGTTCACGATGAGACTCATGATCACCCAGTTTCACTCACAGAGTTCACGATGAGACTCACCATCACACAGTTTCACTCACAAAGTTCACGATGTGACTCACCATCACCCAGTTTCACTCACAAAGTTCACGATGAGACTCACCATCACCCAGTTTCACTCACAAAGTTCACGATGAGACTCACGATCACCCAGTTTCACTCACAAAGTTCACGATGAGACTCACCATCACCCAGTTTCACTCACAAAGTTCACGATGAGACTCACCATCACCCAGTTTCACTCACAAAGTTCACGATGAGACTCACCATCACCCAGTTTCACTCACAAAGTTCACGATGAGACTCACCATCACCCAGTTTCACTCACAAAGTTCACGATGAGACTCACCATCACCCAGTTTCACTCACAGAGTTCACGATGAGACTCATCATCACCCAGTTTCACTCACAGAGTTCACGATGAGACTCGCCATCACCCAGTTTCACTCACAAAGTTCACGACGAGACTCACCTTCACCCAGTTTCACTCACAAAGTTCACGATGAGACTCACCATCACCCAGTTTCACTCACAGAGTTCACGATGAGACTCGCCATCACCCAGTTTCACTCACAAAGTTCACGATGAGACTCACCATCACCCAGTTTCACTCACAAAGTTCACGATGAGACTCACGATCACCCAGTTTCACTCACAGAGTTCACGATGAGACTCACCATCACCCAGTTTCACTCACAGAGTTCACGATGAGACTCACCATCACCCAGTTTCACTCACAAAGTTCACGATGAGACTCACCACCACCCAGTTTCACTCACAAAGTTCACGATGAGACTCACCATCACCCAGTTTCACTCACAAAGTTCACGATGAGACTCACCATCACCCAGTTTCACTCACAGAGTTCACGATGTGACTCACCATCACCCAGTTTCACTCACAAAGTTCACGATGAGACTCGCCATCACCCAGTTTCACTCACAAAGTTCACGATGTGACTCACCATCACCCAGTTTCACTCACAGAGTTCACGATGAGACTCACCATCACCCAGTTTCACTCACAGAGTTCACGATGAGACTCACCATCACCCAGTTTCACTCACAGAGTTCACGATGAGACTCACCATCACCCAGTTTCACTCACAAAGTTCACGATGAGACTCACCATCACCCAGTTTCACTCACAGAGTTCACGATGAGACTCACCATCACCCAGTTTCACTCACAGAGTTCACGACGAGACTCACCATCACCCAGTTTCACTCACAAAGTTCACGATGAGACTCACCATCACCCAGTTTCACTCACAGAGTTCACGATGAGACTCACCATCACCCAGTTTCACTCACAGAGTTCACGATGAGACTCATGATCACCCAGTTTCACTCACAGAGTTCACGATGTGACTCACCATCACCCAGTTTCACTCACAAAGTTCACGATGAGACTCACGATCACCCAGTTTCACTCACAAAGTTCACGATGAGACTCGCGATCACCCAGTTTCACTCAGAGTTCACGATGAGACTCACCATCACCCAGTTTCACTCACAGAGTTCACGATGAGACTCATGATCACCCAGTTTCACTCACAGAGTTCACGATGAGACTCACCATCACACAGTTTCACTCACAAAGTTCACGATGTGACTCACCATCACCCAGTTTCACTCACAAAGTTCACGATGAGACTCACGATCACCCAGTTTCACTCACAAAGTTCACGATGAGACTCACCATCACCCAGTTTCACTCACAAAGTTCACGATGAGACTCACCATCACCCAGTTTCACTCACAAAGTTCACGATGAGACTCACCATCACCCAGTTTCACTCACAAAGTTCACGATGAGACTCACCATCACCCAGTTTCACTCACAAAGTTCACGATGAGACTCACCATCACCCAGTTTCACTCACAAAGTTCACGATGAGACTCACCATCACCCAGTTTCACTCACAGAGTTCACGATGAGACTCACCATCACCCAGTTTCACTCACAAAGTTCACGATGAGACTCGCGATCACCCAGTTTCACTCACAGAGTTCACGATGAGACTCACCATCACCCAGTTTCACTCACAGAGTTCACGATGAGACTCGCGATCACCCAGTTTGACTCACAAAGTTCACGACGAGACTCACCATCACCCAGTTTCACTCACACAGTTCACGACGAGACTCACGATCACCCAGTTTCACTCACAAAGTTCACGATGAGACTCACCATCACCCAGTTTCACTCACAAAGTTCACGATGAGACTCACCATCACCCAGTTTCACTCACAGAGTTCACGATGAGACTCACCATCACCCAGTGTCACTCACAGAGTTCACGACGAGACTCACCATCACCCAGTTTCACTCACAGAGTTCACGATGAGACTCACCATCACCCAGTTTCACTCACAAAGTTCACGACGAGACTCACCATCACCCAGTTTCACTCACAAAGTTCACGATGAGACTCGCGATCACCCAGTTTCACTCACAAAGTTCACGATGAGACTCACCATCACCCAGTTTCACTCACAGAGTTCACGATGAGACTCACCATCACCCAGTTTCACTCACAGAGTTCACGATGAGACTCACCATCACCCAGTTTCACTCACAGAGTTCACGATGAGACTCACCATCACCCAGTTTCACTCACAAAGTTCACGATGAGACTCACCATCACCCAGTTTCACTCACAGAGTTCACGATGAGACTCACCATCACCCAGTTTCACTCACAGAGTTCACGATGAGACTCACAATCACCCAGTTTCACTCACAAAGTTCACGATGAGACTCACCATCACCCAGTTTCACTCACAAAGTTCACGATGAGACTCACCATCACCCAGTTTCACTCACAGAGTTCACGATGAGACTCACCATCACCCAGTTTCACTCACAAAGTTCACGATGAGACTCACCATCACCCAGTTTCACTCACAAAGTTCACGATGAGACTCACCATCACCCAGTTTCACTCACAAAGTTCACGATGAGACTCACCATCACCCAGTTTCACTCACAAAGTTCACGAAGAGACTCACAATCACCCCCGCCCCAGTTTCACTCACGAAGAGAGCCACACTAAAACTAAGCGACCCGCTGGCTATCACTAATGAAAGCTCCACCAAGCGGCGGCTTCTCATCGTCATGGTCACCGTGTGGGAATCTAGAGCAGTGGCCAAACACTTTGAAGGCGTCGTCATGTTGATTTTTGAATTGCATTCTGGGCGAGTGGGTGAGTTGGGGAGCGCGTGGACGAGTGGATGAGTGGGTAGGTTGGCTGGGTGGTGTGAGCAGCTGAGATGATGAGCGAGTGGATGAGTGGGTGGACTGAACCAGATCATTCTGATGTAAGCGGCCTAACCCACAACAACAACGAAACCGGCGTATTCTACGTCGCTAAATTCTGTGGCTGAGCGGGCTAACGACCGAGCGAACTAGCGAGCGAACTAGCGAGCGGTCTAACGAGCGAACTAACGAGCGGTCTAACGAGCGAACTAACGAGCGGTCTAGCGAGTGAACTAACGAGCGGTCTAGCGAGCGGACTAATGAGCGATCTAACTAACGAGCGAGCTAACGAGCGAGCTAACAAGCGGTCTAACGGTCTAACGAACTAACTAACGAGCGGTCTAACGAGCGATCTAGCGAGCGGGCTAACGAGCGCTACAATGGGTAGAATGCAAAGGAAAATAAACGTACTTACTGGCAACTTCTTACACCAGCGTGGGAGCTACGGGGTACATTGGAGGCATGCAGCGGGGCGCCAGATAGCAGAGGAACGGACAAAGCCAAAGCGAAGCGAAAAGTAAAAATACACACAACGCACGTGAGCACGTGAGCGTCCGTCACCCACACCACGGCAGCGGCATTCCATACAGAGGATAGGGCGGTGGTGGTGGTGGCACTGTGGTGGTGGTGTCGTTGGTGGTGGTGGTGGCACTGTGGTGGTGGTGGCGCTGTGGTGGTGGTGCCATGGCGAGTGGGTGGTGGCGCTGTGGTGGTGGTGTCATTAGTGGTGGTGGTGGTGGCACTGTGGTGGTGGTGTCGGTGGTGGCACTGTGGTGGTGGTGTCATTAGTGGTGGTGGTGGTGGCGCTGTGGTGGTGGTGTCATTAGTGGTGGTGGTGGTGGCACTGTGGTGGTGGTGTCGGTGGTGGCACTGTGGTGGCGCTGTGGTGGTGGTGTCATTAGTGGTGGTGGTGGTGGCACTGTGGTGGTGGTGTCGGTGGTGGCACTGTGGTGGCGCTGTCGGTGGTGGCACTGTGGTGGCGCTGTGGTGGTGGTGTCATTAGTGGTGGTGGTGGTGGCACTGTGGTGGTGGTGTCGGTGGTGGCACTGTGGTGGTGGTGGCGCTGTGGTGGTGGTGTCATTAGTGGTGGTGGTGGTGGCGCTGTGGTGGTGGTGTCATTAGTGGTGGTGGTGGCACTGTGGTGGTGGTGGCGCTGTGGTGGTGGTGTCATTAGTGGTGGTGGTGGTGGCACTGTGGTGGTGGTGTCATTAGTGGTGGTGGTGGTGGCGCTGTGGTGGTGGTGTCATTAGTGGTGGTGGCGCTGTGGTGGTGGTGTCATTAGTGGTGGTGGTGGTGGTGGCGCTGTGGTGCTCTGGGAGTGGCGGTGGTGGCGCTGTGGTGATGTCAATGACGCTATGGTGGTGGTGGTAGTGGTCGTGGCGCTGTGGTGGTGGTGGTGGTGGCGCTTAGTGAAGGTGGCAATGATAGTGGAGGTGGCGGAGGTGGCGGTGGTTGTGTCGGTGATAGTTGTGGTGGATGCGGTGGTTGTGGAGGTGCTGGTGGTAGTTGTTGTGGTGTTTGTGGCAATGTTCATGGCGGTGGTGGTGATGTTGGCGCTAGCGGCGGTGGCAGTTCTTCTGGTGGTTGTGGTGGTGGTGGTGGAGGTGGTGGAGACGGTGGTGGTGTTCATGGTGGTGGTGGCGGTGTTCATGGTAGAGGCGGTGTTGGAGGTGGTGGTGGTGGTAGTAGTGGAGGTGGTGGTGTTCATGGTGGTGGTGTTCATGGTGGTGGTGTTCATGGTGGTGGTGTTCATGGTGGTGGTGTTCATGGTGGTGGTGTTCATGGTGGTGGTGTTCATGGTGGTGGTGTTCATGGTGGTGGTGTTCATGGTGGTGGTGTTCATGGTGGTGGTGTTCATGGTGGTGGTGTTCATGGTGGTGGTGTTCATGGTGGTGGTGTTCATGGTGGTGGTGTTCATGGTGGTGGTGTTCATGGTGGTGGTGTTCATGGTGGTGGTGTTCATGGTGGTGGGTGTTCATGGTGGTGGTGTTCATGTGGTGGTGTTCATGGTGGTGGTGTTCATGGTGGTGGTGTTCATGGTGGTGGTTCTGTGGTGTGTTCATGGTGGTGGTGTTCATGGTGGTGGTGTTCATGGTGGTGGTGTTCATGGTGGTGGTGTTCATGGTGGTGGTGTTCATGGTGGTGGTGTTCATGGTGGTGGTGTTCATGGTGGTGGTGTTCATGGTGGTGGTGTTCATGGTGGTGGTGTTCATGGTGGTGGTGTTCATGGTGGTGGTGTTCATGGTGGTGGTGTTCATGGTGGTGGTTGTGGTTGTGTTCATGGTTGTGGGGCTTACCTCGTTCATGGTGGTTGTGGTGCATGTTGTGTTGGTGGTGATGGTTGTGGTGATGGTAGTGTTTGTGATAGTGCTGGTGGTGGTCGTCGTGGTGGTCGTGGTGGTGGTTGTGGTGGTGATGGTGGTGGTTGTGGTGGTGGTGGTGGTTGTGGTTGTGATGGTCGTGATGGTTGTGGTGGTGGTCATGATGGTGGTGGTGGTGCTCACCTCGTTCATGGCTGGTGTCACCGTGGGAGCGGCGATGAAGACGATGAACGGAGCAAACTCAGCCGTCCTCAGCACCTTGAGAGCCTGCGGGGGGGCGGAGCGGGGGGGGGGTGAGCGGGGGGGGAGCGGGGGGGGGGGGGGGGTGAGCGGGGGGGGGGGGTGAGCGGGGAGGGGGTGAGTGATTGGTGAGCGACCAGTGCCAACGCTCGATTCCACCGTGCAGATGGAACAGATGGGTGCCAGTCCACGCTGCTGCTGCTGCTCGTGGCCTGACGCTCCACGCTGAGAGAGAGGAGCTGCTGAATGCCCCCCCCTCCTTCTCCCCCCCCTCTCCATCTCCCCCCCTCCCTCTCTCCCTCCCCCCTCCCCCTCCCCTCCCTCCCCCCCCTCTCCATCTCCCCCCTCCCCCTCCCTCCATCTCCCCCCTCCCCTCCCTCCATCTCCCCCCTCCCCCTCCCTCCATCTCCCCCTCCCCCCCTCCCCCCTCTCTCCCCCCCCCTCCCCCGCCACACCTGTGGCTCCACGTCCAGGATGGCCATGAGTGAGTCGAGGTGGATCTTGCGGATGGTGGAGAGCTTGGTGCCGTACATGGCCTCCTCGTGGCTGCCGTACTCCAGGTACTCGTTGTTGGCGATCTCCAGCATCATCTGCTCGTGCGTCACAAAGTGGTAGTTCTTGCCGTCCTCCTCCTCCTTCCTCGCCGGCCGCGTCGTGTCTGGGGGCGGGGTGAGGGTGGTGAGCGGGTGGTGAGTGAGTGGTGAGGACTCACGTGGTATGGGATACTCACGTGGTGAGTGGTGAGTGAGTGGTGAGTGAGTGGTGAGTGAGTGGTGAGTGAGTG